GACCGCTCTGCCGGCTGGCCTCCACTTAACCTCCGATTAAACCCGGGGTCGGCACCGATCGGAAGGAGGCAGGATTTATAACCCGCCGCAGGATGCAGTTTGACACCGGCTGTAATCAGGAGAGCTGTCACCACAAGGACAGCTGTCAAGCCACGCCGGCTCATAAAAAGGGATGGAGACACCCTAAAAGCAGTGGCTGGCCTTGCTCATGGGATTTAACCCTTCCCTGAACAGCCTCGAACAAAAGGGAAAGCCTTGTAAAGGTGCTGCTCCGCTCAGCACCACCAGCGAGAGTTTTCATACCAGCTCTCATGCCTCTCCGCAGCAATTAACGGCTTGGTTACGAAGCCCTTACCGAGACAGTATCAGGAGATTTTTTTCACCGAGTTCTAGTTTCAGGCCAAGAGCCACTTGAATCCAAAGCACTCACTGATTTAACAAGCTGTTTTCAAGATTGGGGTGATTTATGACCAGATCAGCTAAGTAAGGGAATGAGGACAGCCTGGGTGCAGCGATGGTCAGCCAGGGACAGCCGGGCACGCCGGACCTGGGTGCCAGCGGCCCAGAGAGGCTTCCCCAAAGATGATGTACAGGGAGGGAAAGTGGGATAACACTCAAGTGGAAGAAAAAATTTTTACACTTGAAACATTTGGGAAAAAAACCCCCATGTAAACTGTCATTATTGAAACATCTGAGCTGGTAGGGTGGATCAGAGAAACCCTCTCTGAAATAATGTTAATTAAATCAGTTATGATTGTTTGCTTGTGTTAAACAACCAGCTTCAGCCCCCCAGCCAGAGGGATCCACCTGCAAAGAATTTCCGTTGAGGTGATGCATCCATCCTTTACGTTCACGTACTGGGTTTGCTTGAAGCAGGTGCTCCTGGCTAATTTACACTCATGCTTTTGCACAACCTGCTATAATCCACTGTGCACCCCTCGGTAGGCAGGTGTCAGTGCCAAAACGGGGAGCAAGGGAGAGCATCGCCCCAGGAGAGAGAAAGCCCAAAAATGTGGAACAAACTGGGCAGAGATTAAGTGCTGTCATTCTGCAGACACCTTCTGCGGACACTGAACGCGGACACTGCAGCACTAAGCAACAGATTTGCTACTTCGGTCAGAAGGATGAGAATTTGAAAAATAAAGTATCCTACAGGAAAGATGACATGGGGGGAAAATCGTACATTATTGTAATTACAGCCTCGGTTGAGGGGCACTGGAAGCTGGTAGTTTAGATCCAGATCAGAATGCTGTGCCTGGGACCGATGGGCTCTACAAAGCAATTTTGCCATCCTGCTGATGTCCTTGTGGAGAGAATGGAAGAGAGAAAAAGACACAAACACTTCAGAATGACACGTATGCTCTTAATTACACAGTGACAGGCATTGAGAGAGAGTGTAAGATAAGAACTGGTATGTCTTAATTTTGGAAAAAATTATGACATAGACTAAATCGATACTTTTTTCCTATTCCCCGCACATCAGCACCGCATGTGTCACTTAGTCTCTGCTTTTCTCATTTGGAGATAGAACAATCTTTCAATTAAAAGGATTGCTACAAAATCTCGTATCTAATTAGCATGTAATTGTAGCAGGGACACAAACTGTAACTTCGCTCTGTTGGTTTTGGTAGTAGAGAAGCTGCTGCTCTCTCAGCTACGATCAGACAGGTTTGTCACCAGGACATGCGGAGGTGAAGACCATCTTACTCATCCTCTTCCCCTCACCTGCGTAACCTGTTAAAGCCAGCACAGACCTTCCTCTCAACCTCAGCATCCCCTAACCAAAGCCACTCCCGGGTCTGGAGGAGGTACAACCACGTCCTGGAGACACAAAGGACAAACTCTGCAGAAAATGCATCACGAATTGGGGGGAAAAGGAAGGCTTTAAGGTGCAATTTGCAGAGGACAACGAAGCGGGGACAGCAGTCTTCCTCACTGCTTCTCCCAGGGCTCCTATTCATCTCATGCTGGGATTTGCTGGTGGAAGTAGCCGCTGGTTAATCAAATCCAGCTTCCCTGTTCATATTTCTGCTGAAATTTGCTTTCTGTACGTAGAGCATTTATTCCAGCTGCAAATCCATCCTGTTAAGAGGGAACAACCAAGCTGAAAGGCAGCTTACCGTAATGGAGCGCAGTCTGGCCTTCCCCGTCCTGAAAAAGAGAGAGACTTGATTTTAGAGGTATAGGTAGCATCGTGGGGATACAGGTAAATCTCACTTTTAAATAAATAAGCTGAATCACAGTAATACTTTAATTGACTAGATAAACAGCCCAGGACACCCAGCTACCTGGCAGCCAGGCTTTGAATCATCATCCACCATCAATCCCTATTGATGGGTAATCAATACCTATCCACGCACAAGAGTGCGTGGATCACGTCATGACATGAGTATAATTCAGTTCATAGCGTTATCACTTCCAGCCCATAAAAATGAAGGATTTCAATCCTACGGCCTTACTTTGGGACCCTCACCAATCCTGATGCTTTAGTGCACCTCGGAAAATGCCTGCTGAGAGCTTCCGGGCAAGCACAGCCTCGTCCAGCTACTCAAGAGCAGGGTAAAGCACCGGGACGCTGGCGCGGCTCGGCACTCTTCAGCACAAAAGAGAACACAAGGGGAAAAAACCCCCACTTTTCTTCCAACTCAATAAGTCTTAGGTCCTCGGTCTTCAGAATCCAGGTCTGAACAAAGGTGGATCCAAAGCCCAGGTAAATTCTGTTGGGCTGCTGGCACCCCAGCAGAAGGAGGGTGAGGAAAGGGCTATGCACAGCACTCGGGAACGAGAGACGGTTCTCGGACTCATCCTTGAGATGTGGCGCAAGGGCAAAGCAAACGGCACGATTCGAAGATTTGGCACACAGCTCCCTGCTCGAGCTAACATGTACGCCACTGCATCAGCTGCAAAGGTTTGGGAAGTGCGTCCCGTTCCCAGACTCGGCAAGCACGGGCAGAGCTTTGCCGGTGAGCGGCCGGTGCTCGCGTGGCACGTCCAGCAGTGCAAACCCGGGCACCTCACCGTGCTGCAGCCTCGTCCTGCCACAGGAACAGGTGAAATAACAGAAGGAAAGAATTACTGGCCCCTTTGCTTTCACTACCCCACCAGGATTAGCCTCTAATTCAGTTCTTTGCCTCTTTAATTTATTTGCATCTGTTTATGGAGACTTAAGTTTTTAATTACCATCATCTTTGGGATTAAGGTGCAAATTCTACAGCCTGCTGTGGACTCTGGAGCAGGCGAAAGGGAAAAGACGACCAGGAAAACAGGTAGAAATCCCACCTGTTGCTGTCTGGGGACTTGTGGTTATCCTGTTTGATATTAACCCTGTTCAGCTGAGGAACTAGGAACGACTTGTGTTTCAGGGCAGGAGGCGCCACGCTCTGCTCCGGGACACCGCACCAACACCACGACCACAGGAGCAACAGGGACAAAAGGGAAAAGCCAAATGTAACAGGTATCTGCTGCCTAAACATCCATTTCGCGTCTTTGCTGGGGAAAACGTGGGGGTGTCTGTGAGATTTTTCCCTTCCTGCTATGCCCCATTCGTGGCACTCACGCCAGCATTCGGAGGCACCTCATTTCAGGAGCCCAGCTCATGCGGCGCGTAATGCAAATGGGTGTCATTAGAAGATCCTGCAAACCAAACAACTGAAGGAATCGAGGACGGCATCCATTGATTATTCCACACTAATAAGGTAACCGATCCGAGCCTGAGCCCCTGAGCGGTCCTTAAAGCACATGTCTGCTCGGAGGAGTGACAGGGCCGGCACTGACTTCAGCAAAAACAGGGAGCAGGGCTGGGGAAGAAGAGGCGGGAGCGCTAGGAATGAGTTATTGGAAAGGCAGGCTTTCAAATATGCAGGTTGTGTGCGTGCTGGGGGATGGGAAGCCAGCTCCCCTCCGCATCGCCGCCTTCAAAATTGTAGCCGACAAAACCCGCAGGTGAATGGGACTGGGGACGTTCGGCAGAAATCCCTTTCCATGGGAACGCTTTGCCGCAAAACTCCTTCCAAAATCCATAGGACTGCTCCAGGAATACTACAGCCATTTGTTCCTCTTCCAAAGGGCTGTGTAAAGCACTGCTGCTTCAGCAGCAGGCTGTGGGCTAACGAGGCTTTTTATTTCTCTTAGATGTATTTTTTTGGCATTTCTTGGGCTACAAAGAGAGCACAAGTCCCGGCATACGAAATGCATCTCTTTAGTCCCAGTGTGGTTTTTAAAAAGAACTATTAATCCAACGCTATGCAAACATTGTTTACACTTTATTTACGCTGTGGATTTTTTTTTTCCCCCTTTGAGCCTGACGGCTGGCCAAATGCTATTTGTTACACGTCTCAGATGCTATGCTATTTGCTTGTATTTTCTCTGTGACAAATTTTAATCCAGGTAAATGGAAAAAGCTCTAGTGTGGTCACTCACTAAGGGCCTTGAAATGCCCTCCGGAGGCTGCTGATCTCAATCCCTCTTTCATTTGGCTTTTTGGAGCACTGTGGCTAATCGGAGCCCGATGTGCCCAGCTGCTCTGCGCACAGCGCTTGGCTCCAGGTACGGCAGCGCTGAGCCTCCAGCACAAAAATGGTCACACCTAGAAACTAATCAAAGCCAAGCTGTGACAGCGAGGATTACAGCTCCCATTGCGGAAATTACGTGAGATGAATATTGCCTACCAGGTGCTGGAAATGTTTGTTTTACAACGAAACAAGACACGCAGAAGTGGTCTTAAGATGAATTGTAGCTGACCTTGATGCAAGGGATATTTCACAACGTGTGACGGAAAGCAGCGGTTTCTGGAGCATCCTAGGCAAGTGCGGTGTGTCTTTCTCCCAGGAGGTGCCTCTGTTGGGATGAAGAACCCCAAATGGCGAGTGGACAGGGACAGCCTGGCACAGCCTCTGTCCTCACCCCGCTGCACCCTGCCCAGGGCACCGGCAAAAGTCACCGGCCCAGCCCAGGATCGCCGGCACCAGCCAGGAGCGGGGTGTCCCGAGCACACCCTCCGCAACCGGGAGGAACGCAGAGATGCCGATGGACCAATTTGCTCATCTGGCTTGCAAGCAGGGGCAGCTCATTTTTCTCCATTGAAACCCATCAGGATATTTGTTGGTTCACTTTATACAAAGCACCGAGTCAGAGGGGGATGTTCATCATGATTGGTTACTTCTTCTCTCTCCAATTCAGCTTTCAGACTGTAAAATCTGAAATGTAAATCACACAGAGCTGCAAGTACACCAAGACCCAGAGTCTGTCGATACACACTGAAATCAATGATTCGATAAATCTGTAACGTAAAAACCTGAATATTGTAACCAGTTATTTCCACACTGTGCCAACGGAAAGTTAGGTAATCACAGTGCGTTGTCATTTCTGCACTAAGGCATGTGAAAAGAAATCAGAGACTTTTTTAATTTCCCAAATATGAGCTGCTGTAGCACGACAGGAGCACAAGGAGAAGGTGTTGAGTAGGGGAGCTGATGTCAGGGAGTGCAGAAGAGCCGGGCAGCTCCGGGGCCAACGCTGAGCTCTGCTCTATGCCAGGATGCCTCTGAGAAACGCCCTTTCAACACCACACACCAGCTGGAATAATGTCAACGTGACAGGTTAAAAAAGGAGAAAAATCACAGTTCTGATTCAGTGAATTTCAACATGAAACAGGGAAAAGGCCAGGCTCAAAGCAGTAATTTGTGTTTCTGTAAAGCTTTCACTGGCAGGAACCTCTCCCAGAGCCCTTTTAGCGATACCTGGTCTATAAAAAGGAGCTCATGGAAATGGCAGAACCCGTACAGGCAGACAGAAGACTACCAGAAAGGAAGGAAAGACCATTACACACTCAAATGTAGGAGCGCTCAGTCCCATACACACAAGTTATCGACCAAGAACAGACCGAGCCCAAGCTTTCCTCTTGCCTCCTAACGCCACGTGCCATCCCTGCTGCCTTTTACAGCCTCTGGACACAGCTGGCCACGGAAAGGTGACAGCCGAGCCGCACTGCCTTCAAGGGAGATGAATGTTTCCAAATACTTCAAAAATAAACCCAAATGTCGACGTCCACCAAAACCATTGAAACAAAGATGCTACAAAATCATCGGTACCTCCGACGTCCATGGCCTGCAACAGATGTCACTCAATGAAAATCCAGCTACCAGTGGATAACTTATTGGATAACAGGATTGCATTCTGCTCCTAAGAAATTTGAGCAAGAGAAATGAGAGAAGATGGACGGAGCGCAGATGGACCAACTGTCTTATCCGTTAAGTGGTACTATGGCTAGTGCACGTCAATTTTGTCTTATAAGTGATAGGATTATATCGGTGTTGCCATCCCATGTTCATTCCTTGGGAATTTCTGCACTTTGCTTAACCTAACACAAGGTTTCTGGATGTACTGACCGAGGGGCAGAGACATGGAAACGTCTTGGCTGAGCCCTGCTGAGATGCTGCGCAGGCTATAAAACACAATTCTTGCTGCCCCGTCATGGCCAGCAGACCTTGACCTGCTGGTGTTTGACTGTGATGGTTTCACAGGACAGTTTTTAAAACAGTGTTACATAAACATTGATCCTCCAGACCTGCCTCACTTGCTTTCCAAGCTGCATGCAGAAACCTCAGCGAGCGGGAGGGTGGCCCTAAGGGAGACACCGTCTCTTCTTCCATCTCGCATCTTTTACTTAGCACAAGTACAGAAAGAGGAAAACCCAAACCGGTTACCTGGGTGAGCTTTGGTCCAGCTAGACCCCTTACTGGTGGTGAAGCTGAGGCAGGACAGCCCTCCACACCGGCTGTGAGGGTCTGCACGGGACCCCCATACCTCCTTGAGCGCTGGCGCACACCAAGACCTCAGCTCTGTGCCTTCAGTCACATCTCCAAGCGCAGACACCTTGAGCATGAAAAGCACAGCAGAAAACACACCTGCTAACCTCTCCCTTTTGAGGGATAGCACATGCACTCTTCATTTTAAGGTATTCTTTCGCCCGCATCACCGCTTCTTTCTGCTCATTTGCGGCATCTTTTAAGGTGTACGCTCGTTCCCATTGACAGACTCCAAATGTTGGCAGGGATCACAGCAGATAAGACCGATGTGGTGATAAGAGTGTTTAACAGCGCTGGGTCCTGGGCAGCATGGATGGGCTGGAGGGAAGATAAATATTTACGCTA